TTTTGAGATAAGGTCTCCCTGTAGCCCCAGCTGGCCTGGAACTTGCTATGTAGACCAGGGTGGCCTCAAACTCACAGAGATCGAGATCCACCTGCCTCTGCCTCCTGAGTGCTGGGATTAAAGGCATGTGCCACCATGCCTGGCTTGGAACAAATAATAATAATGATGATGATAATAATAGGCATAGCATCCAATTTACCATCTTAACTATTTTGAATCTACAGAGAGAATTTTGAGTGATGAAGAGAGGCCAGTGCTTGGTCCTTTGCCTTGTAGGCTGGTAAGTTTACTCAGTTTCTGAGTGGGTAAAATGGAAACAGTGAATCTGAAATCTCTTTGTTGTTCTTGTTGTTAATTGAGCATTTATTTCTGCTCGAGTAAAACCCACTGTCTATGAGGACACTAAAAAAGTAATGTTTGTGGTTTACCTTGACATGGTTTTTCTTTATAAGTTGATTTCTAGAAATGACTGTACCTCTTTTCATTGGTAATTGTGTTGGTTTCCTTCTCTTAGGATGACTGTCTTAGGTCACTAACAAGATTTGCAGCAGCACATTGGACAGTGGCATCACTTCCTGTGGTCCAAGGACACTTCAGTAAACTTTTTGCATGTGAGTGTTCTATGGCAGTAGGTTGTAGTAACTTGTCATCTTGGAAATTTTATTTAGACCAGAATAGCTTCTCTCAATTGTGAGTGAAGTATTCTGGTACTGTTTGTCTTTCATGTAGCTCTAGCTCACAAATGCGTGCCTATCTTGCTGTTAAGATGGGTTTTATGCATTTTGGGTTTACCTTGGTGGATAGAATGTGCTAATATTTCTCTCCGTCCCTAGCATTAGTGCCTAATGAGAGCTACAAAGACCTCCCGTGCATATTAGACATCGACATGTTTCATTTACTGGTGAGTGTTACACTTGCTTTCTGCTCCCTTCATCCTGCCCTAACTCCGCCTTGGCTTTGGCAGGTAGTAGAAAGGCAGTGAGGAGCCACTCCTTCTGGCCATGTCTGTGATTTTTCTCCTGAGCCTGACTGAGGCTTGACCTTGGCTCCTGGCACCCTTCCTCCTTGGCAGCCAAGGTCTTAGCCTCGCTGGGCCTTGAATGCACTGAGAGGTGAAAGCAGCAGCGTGAGTGCTGGCAGTGAGCCTCCGAGTGCGTTCACACTTGTTAGAAACTCTGGGCAGGTTCAGCCCTGTAGTCCTACTAGGTGGCAGACACAACCTCCCCCTTTATCATTTTTTTAATTGGCATATATTCGTTGTACAAAATAATGGGTTTCTTTATGACATTTCATACATAGACATGATGTGGTTTGATCGTATTCACCACCCTGTTACCCTGTTCCCACTTCCTGGTCCCCCCCTACTGTCATATCTTGTTTTGTTTTGAGACAGGAGCTCTATAGCCCTGCCCCGGAGGTCACTGTGATATAGACTGGGCTGCCCTGGAACTCAAGAGCTCCGCCAGCCTCTGCCTCCCAAGTGCTGAGATTAAATGGTGTACCACCAAGCTTGGTTTAATATTTTGTTATGCCTTTTAAATCCAGATACCACATATGAGAAGAAACATGCTACATTTATCTAGGTCTGACTTATTTAAGATATCTAGTTCTATCCGTTTTCCTGCAAACAATGCAATTTCATTCATCTTAATGGCTGAGTACTCCAATATGTGATTAGAGCCCATTTTCCTCTTCTACTTTTTTGTTTTCAACTTCAGTGTGTCTGTGTGTGATGGTGTCTGAGTGTACATACATGCACACTCACCACAGCCTGCATGTGGAGGTCCGAGAACAACTTTTAAGTTAGGTCTTTCTTTCTACCGTGTGAGTTCTGGAAATCAAACTAAGGTCATCCAGCTTGGCTGCAAGGGCCTTCGCACTGAACAGTCTTGCTGGCCCGCTTAGCACGTTTTATTTCATTCCTCCACTCACACACACCTAGGATGATTCCATGCTTGGCTCTTATGACTATCCATTCATTAACATGGGTGTAAGCCATCTGTGATGTGATGACTTGGACTCCTTCAGGACATAGCTAGGACTGGTACAGCTGCATCTTAAGGTAGTTCTGTTTTCAGCGTTGGAAAGGCCTCCATGTTGATTTCTACAGTGGCCTTACTAATTTACACTCGTGTACTTTATCATCAAGTGTACAAGGGCTCCTATTCCCCGACATCCTCACCAGTGTTTGCAGTTTGTTCTCTTTTTTTCTTTTTGTTTTTGAGACAGGGTCATGCTACACTGGCCTGGAATTCGCTGTGTAGACCAGACTGGCCTCTCAGTCTTACAGAGACCCACCTGCTTCTGCCTCCCAAGTGCTGGGATCAAAGGCATGTGCCACCATGCCCAGTGGTGTTGTTTGTTTTGCTGACAGCCATTCTGACTAGGGTGGAATCTCAAAGTAATTTTGATGTGGATTTCTCTGGTGGCAGAGGGAGTGGGACATCTTTTCATGTATTCATGGTGTTTGTACTTCTTGTTTTGAAACTTGTCTATTCAGCTCATTTGCAGGGGGGTTTGGTCTTTACTTTTTTGAGTTCTTTGTATATTATGGATATTAATCCTCTGGCAAATAGCTGGCAACGATTTTTCTCCCATCTGTCGGCCATCTCTTCCCTGTTAGCTGTTTCCTTTCCTGTATAGAAGGTTGTTTTTTAATATTTGTGTATGGGTACATGTGTGCCATGGCATATGTGTGGAAATCAGAGTACAGCTTGAAGGAATCAGTTCTCTCCTTCTGTCATTAGGTTACAAGACTGGAACTCAGGTCAGTGGGCTTGGTGGCAAACACATTTATCAGCTGAGCCATCTTGCCAGCCCATAGAAAGCTTTCAATTTCATACAATCCTATTGTCATTTCTCATTCATATTTCTTAGACTATTACAACCCCTGTAAAAAGCCCTTGTCTGTAGTGCATTCTCTGTTTTATCAGACAGCTGTAGTCGTTTGGACTTAATTCCTTTCTGTCCCTAATTTGCTAGTAGGGAAGTTGAAGCTCAGAGGTATTTTTCTAAATGCTCATAAAAAAAGAAGGCAGGATTTATCTCTATCCTTATTTGGTCCAAAACCCATACTTCCTCCATTGTTCATTCCTCAAAGAGATTTCAAGAGTTAGGCCAGGCAGAGTGGCCCACACCTGTAATCCCAGCACTAGGTATGATGAGATCCAGGCCAGCATGGCCTCTGAATTATTAAGACACGAACAGCCAAAGCAGATCTGTTCTGTGTGAAACAGAGCAAGGCAGTGATTCCTCTTCACCAGTGTTGAAAGATCTCTTCAAAAAAGACTTCAAGGCCTATCAAATATAGCTTAGCAGAAGGGATCACAGTAGAAGCCTGAGGAGGGGTCCCCATCTCTCATGCTGTGTTTGGTGTCTAGGTGGGTTTGGTGCTTGCTCTACCTGCGCTGCAGTGTCAAGATTTTTCAGGGATCAGCCTCGGCACCGGAGACCTGCACATTTTCCATCTGGTTACCATGGCACACATCGTACAAATCTTACTTACCTCATGTACAGGTAACTCCTGCCCTTGCCCCCGTTTTTGTCAGCTCCTTGACCTTGAGTTTTCTCAGCTTAAAACAAACAAGTCTTAGAGGAAAAGATGTTTGGGTGAGGATTATATATAAACTACTGTTAAATTACTTGTTTTTTCCCGATTCATGTAAAAAGTTTCAAATTAGGTGCTAGAGAGATGGCTCAGCAGTTAAGAACACTTGTTGCTCATACAGAGGATCCAGGTTCAGTTCCCAGCACCCATGTGACAGCTAACAACTGTCTGTAACTCCAGTTCCAGTGGAGCTAATGCCCTCTTCTGGTCTCTTCAGGCATTGCACGCATGTGGTGCACTTACATACATGCAGACAAAACATTCATACACATAAAAATAACAAATCTTTTAAAAATTAATTTTGAATTAAGTTTCTTTGTCCTGTTAAAATCCCTCAGCAATGTAAGTATTTTTGCTTTTTTAAATAGCATAGAAGTTAAGCCTTATTTTGTTTTAAAATGCCAGTTTTGTTTTAACTTAATGTTTGTATCTCAGTGAGTTCACTGTAGCTGTGTTTTTGCATTCAAGCATCCTGTTTTTGAAACATTTTAAGATGATATATTTAGCTTATTCTACCCACAGCATGGTGGCAGCTCCTTGGTCAGATACTGTGTGTACACTTGAAAATCAACAACTATATGTGTGTAGGGAAGTTTTGTTATTTGTGAGTATATGACTGTTTTGAGTGTCAGCAGACCTTTTGACCACACAGTAGGAAAATAGGAGAACTAATATTTCCTTTTCTTTCAGAAGAAGATGGCATGGATCAAGAAAATCCCACTGGTGAAGAAGAATTAGCAGTTCTTTCTTTGCACAAAACACTTCAGCAGTGTACTGGAAGGTGAGATCTTTATCATGTGTGGTGGACACTGCAATTGCTATGTAGGGGTCAGTAGGCATCAGCAGTAGAGAGGAATTGACTTGTTCATTACCAGAAATTGCTGCATATTGACATGTGTTTTAGTTTTTTGTTTTTTTGTTTTTGTTTTTGTTTTGAGACAGGGTGTTCTAGCTTGTTTCTCCATTGCTGTGACAAAACACTCTGACCACTACCAACTTGGGGAGGAAAGGGTTTATTTGTCTTACATCTCCCAGGTCACAATTGATCAGGGAGCCCAAGGTAGGAACTCAGTGAAACCTGGAGGCAGGAGCTGGAGCACAGGCCATGGAGGAATGCTGCTGACTGACTTGCTCCCCTGACCTCTGCTTAGCCTGCTTTGTTATGCAACACAGGTCCACCTGCCCAGGGGTGGCACTACCCACAGTGGGCTGGGCCCTCCCACATCACTCAAGAATCAAGAAGATGCCCCACAGACATGGCCACAGGCCCGCCCTATGGAGTCAATTCCCAAATTGAGGCTCCCTCAACCCAGGTGTGTCAAGTTGACACTAAATCTATCCAGCACACAGGATCTTCCTGTAGCCCCAGCTGGCCTGGAACTCACTATATAGACCAGGCTGGGCTTGAACCCACAGAGATCTGTCTGCCTCTGCCTCCTAAGTTCTGGGATTAAAGGCATGCACCATATGTTTTAAAAGAAGGGCTGATGGTGCACCTGATGTGACTAGAGTCTCTCAGAAGGTGCTGAGATGCTGAGCCTCCCAAGCTCATTGGCCTGTGAGCCCTTCCTTTGCTCAGAGCATCTGGCACTGACTAGTGGACAGATGGACTCTGAAAGTTGCCTTTCTAAAATATATAAAGTGAAATTACTAGAAAAGCACACATTCTTGGAGTCATTCTGGTCTGTACAGTGGTCTCATGTAGATTTTTAACGGTATGCTGAAGAACCTATAAAAATGTCTGTTCTGGCCAGGCGTGGTGGTACACGCCTGTAGTCCCAGCACTTGGGAGGCAGAGGCAGGTAGATCTCTGTGAGTTCAAGGCCAGCCTGGTCTACATAGTGAGTTCTAGGACAGCTCGGGCTACAGGGAGACCCTGTCTCAAAAAAAAAAAAAGTCTGTTCTGGGGCTGAAGAAATGGCCCAGTCAGTAAGAGTGCTTCCTATGCGAACACGAGGGCCTGGGGACCTCTTAATCCCAGGACCACTTAAAAACCAGGTATGGCTGTGCAAGCACCTGTAACCCAGTGCTGTCACGAGTCAGGGGGAGGCAGGAGGAGAGCTGGGACTTCTGGCAGCTCATGAATCTCCAGGATCAGTGAGAGACCCTATCTCAAAGGAATAAGGTGGCGAATGATAGCATGGGTCACCCGAAATCCTCTGGCCTCTGCGAGCACGCACAAGCATGCACACCCACACACAAGTTGGGATACACTTCAGACACATACACAGAATGCTTGTTCAGTGACTTAAGTTACCTGAGTACACTAAAGAAGTAATCCAGGGGCTGTAGAGATGGCTCAGTGGTTAAGAACACTGGTTGTTCTTCCAGAAGACCCGGGTTTGAATCCCAACACTCACATGGCAGCTAACAACTGTCCATAACTTCAGTCCCAGGGCATCCAACAGCCTCTTCTGACCTCCGCAGGCATTGCACGACACGGGTGCACTTACCTACATGCAGCAATACACACATACACATAAAATTTAAAAATTAATTAATTTTAAAAAAGAAGAAGCAGCCGGGTGTGGTGGTGCATGCCTTTAATCCCAGCACTCGGGAGGCAGAGGCAGGCAGATCTCTGTGAGTTCAAGGCCAGCCTGGTCTGCAGATAGGAGTTCCAGGATAGCTGGGGCTATAGGGAGACCCTGTCACAAAAAGACCAAAAAAAAAAAAAAAAAAAAGAAGAAGTAATCCAACATAGAGAAAAACTATGGGTGTTTAAACAGCCCTGTTATTTATACCAGCAAAGAACTGAAGTTAATCTAAATACTTGTGTGGGGGAATAGTTTGGTGTTGGTGTAGCTGATGAATTTTAAAATATAATGAGTATATTAAAAATCATGGTATACAGACTGGAGAAATGGCTCGGCAGTTAAGAGCATTGGCTGTTCTTGCAGAAGACCCGGGTTCATATAAGCCGAGCATGGTGGTACATGCCTTTAATCCTAGCGCTCAAGAAGCAAAGGCAGCATATCTCTGAGATCCAGGCCAGCCCAGTCTACATAGTGAGTTCCAGGCCAGCTGTGGCTACAGGGAAGCCCTATCTCGCAAAAAAAAAAAAAAATTATGGCCTATAGTATGTTCAAGATAGCATGTGAGTTTTTTAAACTTTATATAGTTACAGCTGTGTAAAACAGATTAGCTTGGAGACTGGTTACTAGAATACTGTATGTGGTAGAAGATGCTAGAATGGTAGATGCTGGGCATGGTGGCATGTGCCTTTAATCCCAGCCCTTGGAAGGCAGAGGCAAGTGGATCTATGCCAGATCAAGGCCACCCTGGTTCACATTGTGACTTCCAGGTGGGCTGTGACTAGGGAGACCCTGTCAAAAAAACAACCAACCAAAAAAACAAAAAAGATGCTAGAATAACTGCTCAGGTTTGTTTTCTCTTTGTGGCTCCATTACTTATGTAAATTTCTGTAACAGCATTAGAGACTGTTATCACTATTTGCACTTGACATCCCCTAATAGTTAAGGCTACCACTAGCCTTTAACCCACTCCCATAACCATGATGTCATCAATTCCAAATGTCAGTTGAGCATCAACCCTCCCTATACAACACTGCCCTTTAACTGCCATGACTGTCTCTTCCCACTTCTCACAAGCATCTTTCATCTCTCTTCAGTGCCTTGAAAGAAGCGCCTTCAGGCTGGCATCTGTGGAAGAGTGTCCGGGCTGGGATCCTGCCGTTCCTCAAGTGTTCTGCTTTATTTTTTCATTATCTAAATGGCGTCCCATCCCCACCAGACCTTCAAGGTAACTTCTTGTTTCTTTCAAAATGTGGGAAATCTTTGTAGTCATCTGCTCCAGGCATTTAGAATAAAGATTCCTTGCAAACTTTAAAAGCTGGCTGGGGTATAGCTCAGTGGTAGCACTTGCCTGGCATGCTGAAGGTACTAGGCTCAGTTCCCTAGTGCTTCAAGAAACAAATCCAGTCTGATTACATGGTTGGAGTGTAGCCAGTTGCCTCTGGAGAGCAGTGCTCCAGCTGCGTATCTGGGAGCTCACCAGCTCTTCATCTGCAGTTCTGGGAGTCACAGCTGTTAGAACATCTGTGTAAATGTCCTTACGTTGACAAAGTGCGCCAGGTCTCATACAGTTCTTAGTTTTCCTTTCAGATATTAAATTGTTCAATTTATATATTACTCATAAACTAGGTTCTGCAGATTTTAAAAAACTGAAGACTAAACATTTTAAGTGATTTTTAGTTTTTTTTTTCGTTTGTTTTTGCATGTGTGTGCACGTGGAAGTTAGAAGACAACCTAAGGGAGTTGGTTTTCTCTTTCCACAATATGTGTTCCAAGGGTTGCACTCGGGTCATCAGGTGGCAAGTACCTTTACTGCCAAGTCATATAGAGCCCAATTTTAAGTGATTTTTGTCTTTTTTTGAGACAGGATCTTCCTGTAGCCCCAGCTCTCCTGGAACTTACTAGGTAGACCAGGCTGGCCTCAAACTCACAGAGATCCACCTGCCTCTGCCTCCCTGGCGCTGGTATTAAAGGAGTGCACCACCATGCCTGGCCATTTTAAGTGATTTTTAACTTAAATGATATTAAAATTTGGAAGAGATGGGCTGGAGAGATGGTTCAGTGGTTAAGAGCACTGGCTGTTCTCACAGAGGACCCAGGTCTAGTTCCCAGCATTTACATGGCAGCAAACAACCATCTGTAATTCCAGTTCCAGGGGCTCTAACACCCTTTTATGACCTCCACTGGCATTACATGCACAGCACTTACATACATGTAGAAAAGCACTCATACACATAAAAAGTGTTTTAAATTCAGAGTATCAAAATTTCATGGTTTGCTTGTCCCAGGTCTCTTACTGGTTCTACTCTGATTCATCTGATAGAAGCAGGGGCGGCCAGCTTCGTGGTGACTGCTCTGACAGTGCTGGCACTGGTCACGATAGCTAAGAGCCCATGAATTGTTTATTTCATGTTCACAGTCAGCCTATGCAGTAAGCTGCAAAGGGTGAAGCTGAGGCACCAAGGAACTGTGCAGGTTAGGGGTCTTGTGACTCCATTTCTTCCATGGTGTTCTGGTGTTTTCCATGATCCCCTACAAGTTATAGATGTAGCAGATTTGAACTCTTATCCTACTTGGAAAAAAAATGAAGCTGTGCTATGGCTTCTGGCCACACAGGAGGTACTTGGGGTGCTCATGTGTCCTTTGCTTCTCTGTCTACAGCTCCTGGAACAAGCCACTTTGAACATTTATGCAGCTATCTTTCCCTGCCGACCAACCTTGTTTGCCTTTTTCAAGAAAACAGTGAGATCATGAACTCTCTGGTTGAAAGGTAATGTGTGTATACTGGATAAGCTGGAAATGTTCCCCACATTTCAAATTCCTCCATGGCCAAGCCTGATAGAATTCAGCACATACAGTCCAAGCTTCAAGAATTAGGACATTTGCCAGGTGTAGTGGCACCCTTTAGTCCCATCACTCCTGAGGCAGAAGCAGGTGGAGCTCTGTCACTTGGAAGCCAACTTGGTCTACATAGTGGTTCCAGGCCAGCTGGGGCTACAGGAAGACCCTATCTCAAAAAGACCGGGGCGGTGGGCGGGGGGAAGAACTAGGACATTTTAACAAAGGATTTGGCTTTGGGGTAAGATTTTTACCATGCTCAGGAAGCAGATTTGCATGGAAAAGGATTATTGATAGAAATGTTTATTTCCTTAATAGGAACTGATTTGCTACAGACTCTGTTTCCATAGTTGTGTGTGGTATTGTGGGGTTTTTTTGTTGTTTTTTTTTTGTTGTTGTTGTTGAGACAGTATCTGGTTATATAGCCCAGGCTGGCCTCAAACTTGAGAGCTCCTTACTTGGCCTCCTGAATGCTGGGATTACAGGTGTGCTCCACCATGCCCAGCCCTGTTTCCTCAATTTGTAAAGCTAAAAGAACCTATAAGGGCCGGGCGTGGTGGTGCCTTTAATCCCAGCACTCGGGAGGCAGAGGCAGGCAACTCTCTGTGAGTTCAAGGCCAGCCTGGTCTACATAGTGAGATCCAGGACAGCTGTGGCTACAGGGAGGCCCTGTCTCAAAAAGACAAAAAACAAACAAAAGAACCTATAAGGATGTCCAGTCCAATAGCATCACTTCATATTTAAGAAAATTGAAATCTAAAAGAATTGACCTTTCAGTCAGGTAAGGTTAATGACTGAGTTCTAAACCATATATGTGTTGAGATTAATATCCAAAATATATAAATACATGCCAGTCCTACAGTTAAACACACACACGCACACACACACACACACACACACACACAGAGTAAAAATAAAAATTAATTCAGTCATGGTAATTAGTCTGTAATTCTAGTGCTCAGGAGGCTGAGACAAGTGAATGGTCATAAGTTCAGAGCCAGCATGGTATATACAGCAAGTTCTAGGCTAGCTAGGGCTACACATTGCAAGACCGAGTCTTACACAAAAAGACTAAAGACAGTATTGTGTGACTGCTTGTTAATGAAGTGCCTGAGTAGTCACATTCATAAGTTTGAGAGTTAAACAGATCAGGAACTGAGGGAGAGAGTTAGCATTTCATGGGACAGAGGTTCAGTTAGGCAAGTAGAGAAAGCTATGGGGATGGTTGGTGGTTGGGACAGTGTGAGTGCTGAGTGCCACAGAATGTTAGATTAAAAGTGGTTAAAATGGGGCTGGCGAGATGGCTCAGCAGTTAAGAGCACAGACTTCTCTTACAGAGGAACAGGTTCAATTCCTAGCCACCCACATAGTGGCTAACAACTGTCCATAACTCCAATTCCAGGGTATCCGATGCCCTCTTCTAACCTCTGCAGGCATTGCACGGCTCAGGTGCACTTACTATACATATGTAGGCAATACACTCAGACACATAAAATAAAAATTTCCAAATTTTTTTTTTTAAGTGGTTAAAACAGGCTGGAGAGATGGCTCAGCAGTTAAGAGCACTAACTGCTCTTGCAGAGGACCCAAGTTCGATTCCCAGCACCCATATGGCAGCTACGAACCATCCGTGACTTCAGTTCCAGGGAAATCAGAAGCCCTCTTCTGACCTCTGCAGCATTGCACGACATGGGTGCACTCACATACATGCAGGCAATACACTCATACACATAAAATAAAAATAATAATTTTTTTTTTTTTTGGTCTTTTTGAGACAGGGTCTCCCTGTAGCCCCAGCTGTGTGGCGCATGCCTTTAATCCCAGCACTTGGGAGGCAGTGGCAGGTGGATCTCTAGGAGTTCGAGGCCAGTCTGGTCTCCATAGCGAATCATATCGTCCTCTTTTTTTTTTTTTTTTAAAAAAAAAAAAAAAAAAAAAAAAAAAAAAAAAAAAAAGTGGTTTAAACAGTCTTACCTAGATTTTACCACAGTTTTTTTTTAAGTCTGAAAAGCCAAGTATCTCAGCACTCAGAAAGCTGGACAGAGGAATTGGGAGCTGAAATTCAGCCTGGGGGACAGAATGAGACCCTGTCTCAAAAAATAAAAATAGTTTTTCCCTTTCTGCTTGCCTTAAAGTTGGTGCTGTAACAGTGAAGTGAGGAGATTCCTAACCAGTGAAAGAGGTGCAGTAAGGTGAGTTGGGGGAAGCCGAACACGTGGGTGGTCAGAATGCCACATGTGCTGCGCCTCTGCTGCTTCGGCACTGTGTCCTTAGACTCAGTGACTTTAAGAAGGTAGCGTTCTGCCCTCAGCTGCTGAGAATGTGCGGGTCAGATGTAAGAGCATAGGCGCACTGCCTTGCTCTCAGTAGAGGAAGAGGAAACAGTAACAAAAATAAATATATTTTGGAGGAAAAGATGCTTTTTAAAATGTAGCTCTTGGCAGTCACCTTTAATCCCAGCACTCAGGAGGTAGCGGCATGAGGATCTCTGTGAGTTCGAGGCCACCCTGGTCTACATAGTGAGTTCCAAGCCAGCTGGGGCTACAGGGAGACCCGGTATCAAAAAGCCAAAAAAATAAATTTAGCCCTCTATCTTGGTTTTCCTTAACTTTGTTTTTCTATTTTTCTGTCTTTTTTTTAATGGACAATTTCAAATTATTCAAAAATATCAAGAATGGTGGCCGGGCATGGGCACACAACTTTAATCCCAGCTTTCCGGAGGCAGATGCAGATCGACTTCTGTAAGACTGAGGCCAGCCAGGGCTACAGGGAGACCCCCTGACTCCAAAAGACAAATAAATAAATAAATAAATAAATAAATAAGGCATGATGAGGGCCCATGTGCTTGGCATCTCTTGTGTGTCACTGCTTCACCCCAGATAGGCCCCAACAGACCAAAGAAATGGTTCCATCCAAGTCCAGCTTGGTGAACCAATGAGTATTGTGATTCTATGTAGGAGCTTGGGTAAGGGGTTATACGGCAAGAGCCTGGGTACAGGCAGCTGCTTCACTGAAAATCCCACCCAGCACAGGCAGCCACTCAGGAGAGCTGCATCATTGGAGTCCCAACCCCAGTCAACTTTCTGCTCCTGGATACTTGAGCACCCCTGACCCCAGGACCATGGACAGCTTCAAGCCAGGAGGGCTCTGGTGAACCTCTCCACCTCTCCTTCTCTGAAAGGATGTTAATAGCCACCTCATCATTAGTGCAGACCTGGCTTCCCTGTGTGTCTCTTATGTCACTGTGGTTACATGTGAGACCAATGTGTTCTCTGGGTCACCAAAGCGATCTCTGCCATTGTGATGGTCATATAGGGCAGGAAGAAATGTTTCAGCAGTACAGCCTCTATCTTGACTGTCAGATCATGGCCAGTTATTCTTGTGCTTTTTATCCTCATCTGTACATCAGTTGACCACTGGGTCTGTGGAGTGTGCCTCTGTTTATCATTGCTCCCTGCCTGCATGGTTCTCTTTTGAGTTCATCCCTCCAGAGTAATCAGAACACTGGAGATTATCTGTTGCCTTTATGTGTCCAGAAATGATCACACCCAAATTTCATGAGTGTGACCTTATGCAAATCCAGTTTTCACAAGTCAGAAATGGTTAAATATCACCAACCTCAACCCTGCAGCAGTGCGGTAGTGTTGTTGTCGGGTTTGGTTTGATTTGGTTTGGTTTGGTTTAGTGTGGTTCTGGTGTTGAGACAGGGTCTCCCTGGCCCCAGCTGGCCTGGAATTCGCTATGTAGACCAGGCTGGCCTCAAATCACAGAGATCTGCCTGCCTCTGCCTCCTGAGTGCTGGGATCAAAGGTATGTACCACAACTGTCCCATGGCACAATAGTTCTTAAAGAATACATCAGAATACTGTAGGAGACTTTTTCAAAATATAAATTCCACCACCCAAGAGGTGAGGTTTTTCTGAAGTTGAGGTCTTCGCATGTATGTTCCTCCTTAAATTCAGATTGATCATGGTATGATTGGCAGGTGCTATCTAAAGTATTCCCTACAGTGGGAGGCCATGCTTGGCTCTCTGTAGATAAAGGAGTGAAAGGCCACATACATTCCCAGTGCTGGGTGGGCAGTTGGGGTGGGGGATACCTCACACTGAAAGTCAGCCCTGAACCTCAACTTCTGAGTTTGCTTGAGTCATGGAATCAACACAACTGAGTCTCTCTAATCCGAGGAAAGTGTATGTATTCTTCTAGTGCCTTCTGTCTTCCAACTCACCCCTCCTGAAGATCAACCCTAGTGAGTGTCCTCCTCTGCTCCTCCCCTTCTTTCTATACTATGAACTTTTGCTAAAATGGGGCCAGTAACAAAGGACCAGCACTGCTGCCCCTGTCCCTTACTCTGAGCTCTTCAAGTAAAAAACCTGAAACTTGAGACACTGTTAGAGGATCTCAGTCCACACTCTCCTCAGCTCCCCAAGTCCCTATGATCTCCCTGGGAAGATTACAGCACAGTATAGAAAATAGAGCTGAGTTGTTGGTTTTTTACATTTTTATTTTCTTGCGTGTGAGTGTCCACATACATATGGGTGCGTGCATGCTGTAGTGTGTGTGTAGATCAGGGAGGAGTCTGTTCTCTTCTACCATGAGGATTCTTTAAACTCAGGTTATCAGGCTTGGTGGCAAGTGCCTTTGGCCACTGAGCCATCTCTCCAGCCAAAGATAGTTTCTGACAGTCAAATGGTACACTCGGGTGAGAGTGAGCAATGGCTGAAGGGGCGACTGCACTCACCTGCATTTTAGGCACACTTTACACTATTTCTGAAGTCTCTGGAACAGACAGCTTTCCCTGAATGGTGTTTTCCTGCCCCAGTGATTGACAGGCCCATTTGAATTACCTCTGAGAGGAGATAATGCTGCATCTCACTCTGTACCAGAGTCTGCAGCTAGAAAGTAATCTTAGGGGCTTAGATATCTGTTAATGACTTTTCGGGTTCAGAAGATCATGTCTCCACCCAGGGCTGGAAACTCACTCTGGTGGTGTCCCTCTGACCAGTCATCATTCCTATAGTTTCTAGTCCTGGTTCTCCAGGGTGCTGATTGAGGGAGGGGTCACTCCCCGCTGTCCTCCAGGCCTGCTCATGTCAGAGATGAGAACACCTTTGCTTTCCTTTGACTTACACCCTGCAGTGGCAGGCCATCATTGGCTCAGATTGAGTTTCCCTTGGTTTGTTGTGACTAAGCCAAGAGTTACCCTGTCATGAAAACTTGGCCTCATGTCAACTGAGTTCTTTGACTTTTTAACTTTTGTAGCTACCCAAGAGGATCTAACAGATTAATAGACCTTCCAGAGGATTACAGCAGCCTCATTAACCAAGCATCCAATTTCTCGTAAGTTTTTCTGTTGAGTGTTGAGCGTTGAGTGTGCCCACTACTGAGGTGGTGGCTCTGTGTTTTTCTTGGGTGAGAGAAACCTGTGATAGCCTCCATGACCTCATGGTAGAAGCACAGATGGGGACATGGAGTAGGAGATGACTTGATTTTCTAACTAATAATCGCACATTAAGAAGAGCACTTTGTAATTTTCAGTATGTTACTAAGCATTTGATGTGTAGGCAGCGTAAACCAGTCATAAGAAATGAGGCATTACCTGGACGGTTGGTGCTCTGGGCATCTTCTCTGCCTTTCCTCCATCCCCTACAGACGGTCACTCCTCCAAGCAGCGTGCTGAGCTTCTAGATGCTACATAGCCTCCGTACCTAAGCATCACATTCCCCTGCACATCTTGGCTTCATTTAACTGGCTTTGCATGTATCCGCATGTACGCACATTATTGCATGTTATGTCTGAGATCTGTCTGTGTGACCATAGAACTCTGAGTCATTGCTTTTCACTGCTCTGTGGTATTTCACTGCCTCACTATAGCAATTTTACTTTTGTGTGTGTGTGACAATCTTACTATCTCTTCTCCAGTTGTTGATTCCTTGGGGTTTCTAGTACATGGTTTTTGTGGGTATGCGGGTATCCCAACACGGGTCACTTAATATTGTGAGCTTATTTTCCAGGGTGGTTTTCAACCCTCAGTCCTTCAGCCACACCTCAGCAGTAGTGACCTGTTGTCTGTATCTGTGCAGGTGTCCCAAATCAGGTGGCGATAAGAGCAGAGCCCCAACACTGTGCCTGGTGTGTGGAAGTCTCCTCTGCTCCCAGAGTTACTGCTGTCAGACCGAGCTGGAGGGGGAGGACGTTGGGGCCTGCACAGCTCACACCTACTCCTGCGGCTCTGGGGCCGGCATCTTCCTAAGGTAAGAGCCTGCTGGGGTCTTGCCAGCTTTACCTCTGCGTGGTAGGTGCTGACATAAGAAATGACAACATTGATGAAACTTTGGAAACCCCTGAGCTGCTGCTTATTGCCGATGAGCACAAGGATCTGTTCTCGCTGTTCATTTTTGGCTCTTGCCAACTCTTTGGGTTCTTCCGCCATCATCAGCCCGACTAGCAGCTGAGGGGTCTGTTCTTCAGGTTGATGTGGGATGTCCAGCTGACCCTGACTTCCTCCACAAATCCAGTTAAAACTATTCCTTCAGGGGCTGGAAAGATGGTTCAGCAGTTAAGAGCACATACTGCTCTTGCAGAGGACCCAGGTTCAGTTCCCAGCACCCAAGTGGCATCTCCCAGCTGCCTGTAACTCCAGTTCTAGGGGATCTGGTGCCCTCTTCCGACCTCTGTGGGCATTGCACAAGAAGAGGGGTGCACTTACATAAATGCAAGCAATATACATAAAACAAAAAACTGAACTGTTCTTCTGTTGTATCAAGGTGCTATTAGATCTTACCTGTGCTCAGAACCATGGGCTGGCATGTGGTGCGTGCTCAAACAAGCACTTAGCATCTGTTGTGCCCTTTTTTTTCTAAACGAATAATTTCCTCATAGTGATTACGATCAGCACCTGTTTCATATTTAGAAGTTAGCTGTCTCTCCTCGCACTTCAGTTTTTAAAATGCCATTCTTGGATCCTGTCATTCTACTGGAAAGGGTCACTGTGTGGATCTGCAGTGTGTTACTGATGACGTTGCAGTCATAGTTAACACTGAACCTGGGCAGGCAGGTTGCCACTTCTAAGCCTATCTTGGCTGTGGATGCTAGTTCTTCTAACCCTGAGTTCTGTATATTTTTTTATAAGACCTCATTCCATTTGGAGCTGAATCCAAATCTTGGCTACTTGTTTAAATATATAACTGATCTCTCCACAGAGTACGGGAATGTCAGGTGCTATTTTTAGCTGGCAAAACCAAAGGCTGTTTTTATTCTCCTCCTTACCTTGATGACTACGGGGAGACTGACCAGGGCCTCAGGTAAAAACCCAGCCTGGGGCTTAAGGGACTGATTCAAGTCAGGGCCCTTCTCTGAATGGTAAACATATGAGCCGAGCAGCTCTGAAGTCCACCTTGGGGGCTGGTTGTGGTTGGAGGCGGCTGTGTTGTCTGTGAGCTCTTTCCTAAGAGGACACCTGGCCACCTGCTTTGGTGTTCATTTCCCACCTTGGGAATGCCGTGAGAGCTGGAGAGGTGGCTCAGTCAGTAAAGTGCTTGCCATGCAACATGAGGGCCTGAGTTTGATCCCAGAACCCACAGAAAAATGCTGGCATGGTGGTATAATCTTGGTACTGGGGAGACAGGAGGATCCTTGGGACTTGCTGGCCAGCCAAGCCTAGCCAGATCAGTGAGCTAAGGTGGGAAATGACTGAAAGAAGACTCTGAGGTTGACCTCTGACAGCCACATGTGTGTTTGCTCGCTCGCTCTCTCTCGCACGCACGCACACACACACACACACAAATTTTAAATTGTTTAAAGGGCTGGGAAGAAGACTGAGTGCACAAGCTTGAGGACTTGAGCTGGATCCCTAGCCTGACATCAGAAGCATGGTATAACTGCCAGCATCTATCACCCCAGTGCAGGAGGCAGAAACCTCTGACTCCCCCAGCTCACCAACCAGCCTGCCTAGCAGAAATGGCAAGCTCCAAGTTCAGTGAAAAGATCCTGTCTCAAAAATTAGGTGGATGTTGGGGCTGGAGAGATGGCTCAGCAGTTCAGAGCACTGACTGCTCTTGCAGAGGACCCAGGTTCAATTCCCGGCACTCACATGGTGGCTATGAACTATCTTTTAACTCCAGTTACAGAGGAATCTGAAGTCCTTGTCTGACCACTGTGGCATTGCACGGCATGGGTGCACTCAAATACATGCAGGCAATACATTCGTACACATAAAATAAAAATAATAAATTTTTGAAATAAATAAAATATTAAAAAATAATTAGGTGAATGCACACAAGCATACACTTCACACATCAAAAAAGAAATTGTTTTATGTTCAAGTCATAAATAAAAGGGCCAGCTAGACCGCTCAGCAGGTAAAGGCACTTGATAGACAAGCTGGCAACCTGACTTTGAGTTACAGAAACCCTATGCAAAGGACAGAAGAAAACTGACTCTACACATATGCACACTGTGGTCCGCACACCCACACATCATGCGCAGGATAATAAGTAACGTTTAAAAATAACAGTAGGGGGCTGGAGAGATGGGTCAGTGGTTAAGAACACTAGCTGCTCTTGAAAAAGACCCGGGTTCAATTCCCAGCACCACATGGCAGCTAACAACCATCTGTAACTCCAGTTCCAGGGGATTCAATGCCCTCTTCTGACCTCCCTGGGTATTGGATGACAGACGCACTCACATACATGCAGGCAATACACTCATACACATAAAATAAAAATAAGAGCCAGGTGTAGCGGTGCACACCTTTAATCCCAGCACTAGGGAGGCAGAGGCAGGCGGATCTCTGTGAGTTCAAGGCCAGCCTGGTCTACATAGTGAGTTCCAGGACAGCTGGGGCTACAGGGAGACCCTGTCTCAAAAAGACCAAAAAAAACTAAAAAATAAAAATAAAAAAATAACAGTAACAATAAATAACGACTCAAGAGATCATTCAGTGGTTAAGAGTACTGATTGCTCTTGCAGAGGACCCTGTTTCAGTTCCCAGCACCCACATGACATCTAACAACTCCCATTCCAGGAGATCTACTACCACCTTCTGACTTCTGTGGGTATTGCATGCACATGGTGCACCTACATACATGCAGGTGAAGTACACACATAAAATTTAAAAAATTGGGGGCTAGGGAGATGGCTCAGTGGTTCAGAGCACTGGCTGCTCTTGCAAAAGACCCAAGATTCAATTCCCAGCACCTATATGGAGGCTAACAACCATCCAGAACTCCAGTTCCAGGGGTTCCAAGGCCCTCTTTTAACTTCTGCAGGCACTGCACAACACAGGTACACTTACATACATGCAGGCAGAACACTCATGCATTTAATTTAAAATTATAATTTTTTTTTTTTTTAATGAACAAAGACTTAGTTCACACTGAGCAGACACAGTGGTGCCTGAGGCTCAGTCACTCCTGCTTTGAGCTCTTAGTCCATTCTGAGCTAAGCACAGGCAGTTCACTGTTACAGAGCTGCTTTCAGGCGATTTCTTTGGCCAAAGGATACAGAAGCTTTAATGTAGATATGACTGTCCAGGCTTGAAATAGCCAAGACTGGAAGCCTGGAAAGCCTAAGCAGAGACTTGAGTGCAGGGCTGAGCCGTAGGCCACCAGGTGATGGTTCCTCCTGCCTTCCTGAGGAGTGTGGGCCCTACCAGAAGGGCCCCAGTTCCCATAAGGAGAGCAGCTGTACAGTCTGCATGGGGTGTAGGCCCTGGGCCCATGGGGGCACCCAGTGAGGCCTGCACTTGGGATTACATTAGACCCAGCAGTCGTGTACTGAGGCTTAGGGCTGACGGGGTCAGCAAGCTGAAGAACATGTCAGCCCTGCCGTTCTCTCACCCTCTCCTGTCCCACGGTGAGTGTTCTAGCCTCTACCCCAGACTTCCCGCTCCCTGCCCTTGTTCCCTGAGCTGGCTCTGGGGATGTGGAGCTGAGGTGCTTCTCAGCCTGTACCTGTGCCAGCTGCCCTCAGCAAAGCTACAGAGCCTGGGGTCTGAACAGGAAGGGTGGGGCATAATGACGAGTAAGCAGTGCGTGTGAGTGACAAGCGGCTTCTTTCCAGACGGGGAAATCCTTTGCATTTGTGCAAAGAGCAGTTCAAGAAGATCCAGAAGCTCTGGCAGCAGCACAGCATCACGGAGGAGATCGGACACGCGCAGGAGGCCAACCAGACCCTGGTTGGCATCGACTGGCAGCATTTATAACCCTCCTCCACCAAAAACATGAACTTGAGTTTTGTAACCCAGTTGGCTTTTCAAGAAAGACAATGGGAAATAAGTTCAGCTGAATTTATCTTGAAATAAATTCTTTATTTAAGCTTTTCCTCCCAGTTTTATTTTTCTAGTTTCTGGCTCCAGGGACTGAAGAAAATCATTTTCCAGCAGATTTTCTCGCATCACATTTTGTTGCTGTGTCCCCTCATCTGTTGTCTGGGCTTTCAGATCCAAGGAGGAGCTGCCCATTCTAGGCTGGAGCTTAGCTCCTCTGAGTCGGCCTGTGCCGACCTGCAGTAGCCTGAGCCATTTCACATCACCGACTGTTGCACCTGAGCTGGCACTGACTGAGCAGAGGCAGAAGGCATTCCAGTGCTGTGTCGGGATCGTACTTCCCAGTGCCTCAGCGCCTCAGACTGAGACGGGTGCTGTTCACCTGCTGACGGGACCTTACCTCTAAGAGAAGAGCGGTTGAATTTGACGATGGGATCCCCTTCTGTCCATCTCCTGAGAGGGTCAGGGACACCCCTGCAGAAGCACCAAGAGAGGAGTGGTGTAGAGTGTTGGTTGGCTTTCCACGGCTATAGAGGGTTGGGTTTTTTGTTTTTTGGGGGGTTTTTTGTTTTTTGTTTTTGTCAAGACTTTTGGCTTTGAGAGAAATGTTAAATTAAAGGGCTTTTTGAAAACTTCAAGAATCTTCTAATTTTTCAGATGGTAACATTCTCTGATCACACAGAGGCTAAACTGAGACTGTTCTCTGCGCAGCTTGGATCGGACGCTGGCACCCTCAGCTGCGAGTGTGGTGCACGCCTGTAATCCCATCTCTCAGGAGGCTGAGGCAGGAGGATCAGGAGTTCAAGACCACCCTGGACTATATCAAACCTTGTCTCAAAAGTGAACACTCTGTGTTTTGAGGTTCCTCTCCCCACCCAGCATCTCCTGGGTTAGATGTTTCGCTGCTTAGCCGCTGGCTCACCTGGTAATCCTCAGACAGTCTGCACCCAAGCTCTTTATTCTTTTTAGATCCTGTTCTTACTAAGAGGTGCCTTCCCAGAGCGGTAGCCACATAGTAGTATCGGCACTGACACACCTCATGCCTACTCTTGATTCATGTGCAGAGAGCTTGCATACATGCAGAGTGACAGCAGATTCAGTAGAGGGGTGGACCCTGGTCTCCAAGGTGGGGCTGAGGGGCAAATGAACAGTAAGATGCTCTTGGCTTTTCTAACCAGTGCCAGTGATCCTTTAACTTGGCCTTTTGAATTGCATTCTCCAGTTCTGTTCCACTCAGCAGTGCCCAGTCTACAGAACCTAGAAGTATACACAAGTACAGTTCTCCAGGATCATGTGTGGAAGAGCCACCACCTCTTCAAAGGACTGACTTCAGTTAACCCTTCATGAGACAGACTCAAGTAGCTAAAATGATGCATCATTGGAAGTCCAAATCAGAATCCAGGCTGTTCCTTTTTCTAGTCTTTTTCTTGACACAGTCTGATTGTTTGGGCTGTAGATGACATAACTGATTTTGACCTTTGACACATGCAGTTTGCTTAGCTTTCAGTTCAGATGTTTTTTGGCTTTCCACCTTGTGTTCACGATGTTGAAACTTGAAATCATGAGAGCAACACTTGCCCAGCATGGGCAAGGCCCTTGGCTCAATCCTGGTACCCCCTACCCCCTACCCCCCCCCAAAAAAAAAAATCATGTGTGCAGACTTCTCCATCTAAGTAAGCTGTAAACATCTTCACAAGTCATAATGACATTTCAGCTTTCAGGCCTGATACCACAGGAATTAACAGAGGGTAGCCCTGGGTTCCATTCATAGAATGTCAGCATTTTGGGCAATTTCCATGAAACTTGCAACTTGCACACTGTTCGTTTATTCATGTTAAGATGGTCATCTTCTTCCACGATCAAAGCAGCTTACCTTCACAATTTGTTTCGCATGTTTTCTGTTTGTTGTAGAAATGTTTATATAACATGCCTTCCATATCAGGGAAAATCATGTATGTTTAATAAGTTGGCTATAACTTTAATATCTGTGGACAACTTGTAAAATTTGGAATGTATCATATGTAAAAAGTTTTAAGATAGTCAAATAAATGCTTTAGGTGTTGACATTACATTGGATTGGCCTATATCTTTGTTATGTTCCACACTCCAGCAATTCAACGGAGGTCCCCATATCACCTTGTTCCAAAAGTGGGACATCAATATTAGCCGAAATTTAAGAGGCTTAAACTATTAGTGTCCGTTACAACCACAAGCCAGGCCATGTTGACCTTCCCAGGAAAGCACAGTCCATATTTCAGTCGATATCCATTGTCTGTGGGCTAGAAACTGGGCTTGCTGGGAAGCAGGGCTCCATGAGACCCACCCCCAGATGTGAACTCACCTTGGCCTAGCCCTGCCTATCTCTAGGACTTTGTTCTTACATGTTCACCAGACACCTTTGGCTTTTGGAATGTGTATTGGAAGGAAGCCCTATCTTACTGTCCATTGCCTACAAGACTTCTGTGATGCTCAGAACCCTCTTGCAAGGAAAGCATCAAACTGAACTGAGGTTCTCCAGGCTCTCCACTGGGATTCCCCACCTCCTGCTCATGAGTGCTGCCCCCTGCTGACTACCCACCTTCAGTTCCAAGGCTCTTTAAGCCACCTCTGGCTCCTAGCTCAAGGTATATTTTACAAACAGCAAGAGTAACCCTTTTTAGAATACAGAGTTTATACATTTTAACAAATTCATAATTGACATAAGTTCCTTCATGCCCCTTTGTAGTGAGTCTTCCCCCTGCCCTGAACCCTGGCTCCCACTGCTCTGTCCTGTGCCCTTTCCAGAAGGTTACCTCACTTGCCTTCCCAGTCTGCTTCTCTAAGAACACATTTTGGGCTGGAGGATGTAGCTCTGAGTGCTTTCCTAACAGCACAATACCCTGGGTGAGCTCTCTAGCACTGCATAAACCAGACATGGTAACAGACACCTGTAATCCCAAAGTGGATTACAGGAGGCAGGAAGATTGGGAGTTCAAGGTCGCTCAGATGCACATCAAGTTCGGGACCTGGAATACATGAGACTGTCTCAGAAATAAAAATGTAAAAAGAACTCATTTGAAAGTCACTACATGACTCCTCTGGTTGCTGGCATTCCACTATTCAGGTGTTTACGCAGCCACTGAGTAAAGGCCACCGTGATTCGTGGTGACCATCCATGATTTCCACTACAGACATTCATGTATGGGGTTATTGTGTAGACGCAAACTTTCATTTCCCTCGACTGAATGGCTGTGAGCTGTCCCTTGTGTCACACTGACCCCCTCTGTAGCCAGTCGCCTCTCATTTGAAAGCTGGGGAGGTGTCCATCCGTTGCTCCTTGCCTTGACTTATCTAGCACTGCACACAGTCCTGCTCATGACACTGCCCTCAGGAACTCTTTTTCCCCACTAGTGAATGAGAATCACTAATTGCTCTGGTCCACCACCGCCCCAGCTAAGCTGTAAACCTGCTGGCTTAGCACGACAGGTCCCCAGATGAGGAGGGACCCAGAGCATGCCAAGCAAGAAGCTAATCTTATTAGCTTATATTGAGGTTACTTGGGGTTTACTAGCTGGTGGCTTAGCCTTGGGCTTGATGCATGGTGCAGGAAGGTGAAGGTTCTTTCTTGAGCTGAGGTGTCAGACTCCAGGATGCCTGCCTTTCTGAATGTTCAGCATTCATTGTAAAGTGCTTTAAAGATAAAAGACTGGCTCAGATATGGTGGTGCATGCCTTTAATTTCAGAAGGCAGAGGTAGATCTGAGTTCTAGGCCAGGCTGATCTAAGTGGTGAGTTTCAGGCCAGCCAGGGCTATGTAGTGAGACCCTGTCTCAAAAAATAAAAGTAATAAAAATTAAAGGCTAGGCTTGGGCATAGTGGCATACACCTTTAATCCCAAGACTCAGGAGACACACAGGCTGATCTTTGAGTTCAAGGCCAGCTAGGGCTGTATAGTGAAACCCTGTCTCAAAAACCCAAAAAAACAAAAATAATAAGAACAATAAAAAGGCTGGGTTTGAGGTCAGTCTGCTTTATAGAGCAAATTCTAGGCTTGCTTGGACTCCACAGACCCTGTCTCAAACAAAATCCAGGCAGACTCCATCTTTACCAGTCACCCCTGAACTAGATGTCAGTTTTACAGTTAGAACTGTAAAAATTGGCTGTTCCCCATGGGAGAAGTGAATGTATTACACTAGCCCTAGGACTAAAGTCACATGAGGAAGACCCTGGTACTGGAGGGTTATCAGGCACTAGTAGGTAACCAAAAAGGACAGGCCAGGTTTTTCTAGCAACTACTGGGTAACCTAAGGTCAGGTGCACTTAAACCTAAGTCTATTCTGAACCAATTGATGAGGTAAATCATAGGGTCCCTTCACCCTTGGTTTTCACATCTGCCCATAACCTGGCCCCATGAAAGTTTGCATTTCCCTCTTTGCAAAACTATGTTTTGACCAATGCATGTAGTCCAGTCTAGCCTTGGAACTTACTAAATGGCCAAGGATGGCCTTGAACCTCTGATCCTTCTACCTCTTATCTCTCAAATGCTGGGGTCACAGACATGTACCACCACATCTGGCCCGTCTTTCTAAATAGGCACTAGCTAGACTTGCTAGCACAGGAAAATGGGCTGTCCCAAAGAATCTTCTCTTCAGAGACACATTCTAGTAGTGCTTTGCGGGTGGGTTTCTGCAAGAAGTTTCCAGAGGACGCCTTGCATCCTATGATGCGTACTGTTGCTTGGACTAAGATAGACATTTAGCAAAAGTGATTTTCATACAATATAGTTTTTCATATTTGTTATACGGCTGTTGACAGTTAGTTACGTGTGGGCCTGGAGTAGCTCTCATGATGGTTCTCAGCACTCCTGAGAGATGGTGGGGAGCTTGGGGGCCCTCCCCACAGAAGGCTGGCTCAGCATTTCCAGTGTGGGCCATTCTTTACTTTCAGAGAGACTTGGGAGACAGAATAACCCTGGGACCAAAGCCCGGTAGAAGTCCAAACATCTCTGATCTCTGGTCTTCTGCCTGAGGGAATTAGAACCACACAATACACCCCAGGCTTCTGGCCTGAAAGCTTGCCTCTCTCTTTCCTAAAGGAAATGAAAACTTCTCAGACAGGTAATAGCACAGGAAAATGGGCTGTCCCAAAGAATCTCTGACAGAGACGCATTCTAATAGTGCTTTGCAGGTGGGTTTCTGCAAGAAGTTTCCAGAGGACACCTTGCCCTCTTCTATACTGTCATGGCCACCTGAGCCCATGTCCCCAAGCCCACCAGAAGGTGAGGCCTGGTCCCCAAGGGGTAAATGCTTGTCTGATTGTCACTCCTCCTACTCAGAGAGGTTGTGAGCTTGCCTAGAGCTTCCCTAAATCAGCAGCAGGCAGTGGCTCACCCAGAACTTTGTGAATGGAGGGGATGCTAGAACATTCCAGCAACCCCGTGTGACTAAAGGCATGGGAATATGACAAAAACAGGCCCCTCACTGGATTTTTGATGAGGGAAAATAATCCTCACCTCAGGATTCCCATGTACCATCATGAAGAATTCCTGGTAGAGGTAACCCTCTGGGAGAGTCCATGACTCTTAGAAAAATGTAAGTACCCCTCTCCTATCTTCTAACACAAAACAAAAATGACCAGCTTGTTAACCTTGGCGTTAAAAAAAAAGACAACACATGGTCCTTATGTTTTTTGATCCCTGTGTTTATGAGTGATGCTGTGGATATAGAATGAAGGAACATGGAGCTTCAAAGAGGAAACTCTAAGAGGGGGAGGAACCCTCACTATGACTAATTACCTATGGGTAGCACTGAGCCCAGGCTAGACAGAGATGAGTCCAGGGCTGACCAGCCCCGGAGAGACCAGAAGTCCACCAGGAGGGTTCATTCACTCACATTTAGAGGCAATCATTTCACAAATGTCTGTCACATGCCCTAGGGACCCTGAATTTAAGTCTCACCATCAAGGAGAGTCAGTAGATAGCCAGCCTTCTTGGGAAATTCAAACTTTCAGCTGGACAAGGGGGTATCCACGTTTCCTGGAGTCCACTAAGTGTCCAGGAGGGGAGAAGCCCCCAGGCCATCAGCCAGCCTCTAGGGCGGGTCCTGTGTCTGCTCCTTCTGCCTCCACCTGGTTGCTCTTGCCCAGCTTTTTAAAGCTTTCTAGAAAGGCCTTCCAGGTCTCTGGCACACTCTTCTCCAGGAGCCAGCCCTCACTCTCACACTCAGGGTCCTCTGGGTTGGACACACTCTCTAACGCCGTGTGCAGGTAGCGAAGCCCAGCCGTGATGGTCACCTGGTGTGGAGAAAGGAGACAGAACAGGACACGGGAAATAGCTAAAAAGTTCAGTTAATAAGGGTCAGGTGTGGTGGCTCAGGCCTTTAATCCCAGCACTTGGGAACAGAGGCAGGAGGATCTCTGAGTTCTAGGCCAACCTGGTCAGCCAGGTTGAAGAAAATAAATAAATAAAAGTGGGCTATTAGGAAAACTTAGGAGCCAGCACCTGGTTTAGGAGTGTAGGGTCCTAAACTAAAAGGAACACTGTGGAGCCCCAGTGGGTAAAGGCCTGACCATCCCACCCTGGCCTCCTGTTCTCAAGATGCCTACATCGTGTGCCCCTAACTCCTTCCTCTCCAGATCCACAGTGATTGCCATTTGCTCCTCTTTCTGGTAGATTATTGTTCTACTTAGTGGCCTGTTCCACTTCAACTCTTAGTGAACTCCCCACCACTCCTAACCTTCTCCTTCCCACCCCTCCCCGACCCCCATGCTGAACACACCCGTCCTAGATCCCTTTGCCTCAGTGCCCTCCCGAATTCCCAGCACGTTCCTTGGCACATAAGAGTAGTCAGCAAGCTCCCTTGGATGGGATCAAAAAGTCACTTGAGGGACTGGAGAGATGGAAAAGGTTAAGATCATTGGCTACTCTTGAAAAGGACCTGGGTTTGATTCCCAGCACCACGTTATGACTAACAACCTCTATGTAAGTAGTAACTCCAGGTCCAGGAAATCTGGCACCTCTCCTGGCCTCCTCGGGCATGGCATGACAGGAGTACATGTACATATATACAGGCAAAACACTCATACACAGTATGAGTAAAGTAAATAAAAAGTATGAATAAGTAAATAGAAGTCACTCCCTGGGCCAGTGAGATGGCTCAGCAGGTAAAGGTACTTGCTACCAAGACTGACAGCCTGAATTTGATCCCCAGGACCCACATAGTGGAAGGAGAGAATCAACTTCCACAGGTTGTCCTCTGTCCGCACACACACACACAATCAATCAATCAATCAATCAATCAATCAAACTAGTTTTTTATAAGTCACTTCCTCTTCTGCAAAGCCTGTGATGTGTGGGTTATCTTCTGTCATTTTCACTAGTGTGGTGATGAACTCGGCTCATCTCCAGGTGCACTGGTTCACTAGCATTCACTGTGGAAGACTCTGGTGCCAAAATGCCTGAATTGGCATCCCAGCCTAGCTCTTAAGTAGGCCAGCTGTGATACCCCTGCATAGGCAGAACACGCCGTACCTGGCATCTGACAGGACAAGCAGAGCTGTGAGCTGTGGTTGGTTATTAGCTTGGTAAGTACTGTTTTGACTTTTCCAATAATATTCCATAAGCCGCATATCTCTACACATTTTCTGTGGCTCAGCATAGGCTATGAGACCTCTAGACTGCTCCTTAAGGGCAGGACTGGCCCCAGAACATCTGTTTCCCCCAGCACCCTAGACTCTAGAGCACCTCAATAAATGTCTGCCAATGAATGCACTAGGTATAAATAATTGCAGTAATATCTGACATTAGTAACTGGTCAAGTTCTACATATTGCTATTGTCCATTGAAAGTTTACTAAAATATGTTTTACAGTGGAAAAAGCCCCCTCCTCCAGGAGGTCCCCATGGTGTAAGTATATCCACTCTGATCCCCACAGCTCTCCTGAAAGAGACCCTCTGCACTGACCACTCTGCACTGGGTAATGGTCCTCCTTTTGATGCATAGGATTGATGTCATCTCATGGCTGAGTTGTGACGCACAAGAGGTCAAGGCTGGGGTCAGAATGCTATTCTTAGCCCATGCAACCGAGTGCCCGTGGCAGCTCTGCTCACTAAAAGTGGGGTGTATTCGGACTCCCTGTTCCTGGTGAACTGGTTATGGTAAACTAGGTTCCTACAACAGTGATCATGGAGGCCCAAAGGGGAAGTCCATTTCCACCTCCTCCTGTCATTTGTTGTCCTGGAAGGGGAATTTCCCTGGGTTTAGAGGGTTGTGACCTTCCATCCTAGTAGTTAGCTGCCCTCATGCTATGTAGTCCTGAGACTGCCTAAGGTGTCATCAGGCAATAATGGTCATGAATACACTGTCTTTGCCTCAGCATTAAGTCATTCTAGGTGGTGCAGTCATCCTGACACTCGGTGTGGCGAATTAGAGGAGGTGTGGAGAAGTCACAGACGATATGCTCTGTGAATTTTCGTAGACTAGAAGAGAGATTCAAGGAATCTCCTGTGATGGGGAAACTGGCCCAACTAATGTTTCTGTGTTGGTGTTTTGATTTTGGAGTCTGGGTCTTCTGCTGTGAGAGTAGCTCAAAACCCCTGACCACCTTGTCCCCCTTTCACTCACAAGCCCCCGGGGTTCAGCACCAAGAACAGCGCCCAGCAAATGGTCTTTGAGAAATCCCCTCAAGGATGAATTGAATGGATCCCTAGGGGCTTGGACTTGAGTTTCAAACTCCATAGCTTAGAAAGAGAAACCAAGCCTTGAAGATGGTGTAAGATGAATCCACAGATAATTAGACTAACACTCAAATAGCGACTAGACTCTTAAGAACCACAAATCCAAACAGACCATTGACTGAGCATTCCCATATTCATATTGCACAAAGACCTCAGTAGTCCCCAGAACTGATGCTGTTGTCCCCATATAACAGAGTTAACAGCCATCTAAGACCTCAGAAACAAAGAGAAAGCTCAGGAGGAACCCCCAAGACAGGGTAAGTGAAAGAAACCAAACGCAAAAGGTTGCATGGCGCATGGGTCTATTTATGTGAAGAGTCCACAGTAGGTGAATCACAGTCACAGAGCACAGGCTGCCAGGGGCTGGGCTGGTAAGAATTCATTGCTTGCCAGGAGTGGTGTCTCAAACCTTTAATCCCAGCACTTGGGAGGCAGAGGGCCAGAGGCAGGCAGAGCTCTGTGAGTTTGAGACCAGCCCGGTCTACATAGTGAGTTCCAGGTCAGTTGGAGCTACAGGGAGACCCTGTCTCAAAAAAAAAAAAAATTTACTCCTTAATGAAAGTTTTCTTTGGGGTGAATGTGAAGTATTTTAGAAGCAGATTGAAATGAGGGGTACATGATATTGTAAATATACTAAAATGCATCTGAGTTGTATACCCTTAAAATGGTTTATTTCACCAGGCATGGTAACACATGCCTTTAATCCTAGTATTCAGGAGGCAGAGGCAGGTGGATCTCTGTGCAATCAAGGCCAGCCTGGTTTACATAGTGAGTTCCAGGACAAATGGGGCTACAGGGAAATAAATAAATAAATAAGTTAATTTTATGTTAATTTTACCCAAGCAAATTATGGTTTTTTTTTAAGTAATGAAGCCAGGTATTGTGGAATACACTTATGAGACTAGCTATTTGGAAGACTGAGGCAGAAGGATCATGAGTTCAAGGTTAACCTTGCATAATGAAGACCCTGTCTCAAATATAAAAATAACCCAGGCATGGTGGTGGATACTTGTCATTCTGGTACTTGGGAGGTAGAGGCAGGAGGATCAGGAGTTCAAGGGCAGTCTTGGCTAGCCTGGATATTGTGAGACCTTGTCCCAACCCTTTCCTTGTGAAAAAAAACAAAACAAAACAGTAGGTAGATCAGAGATGTAGTTCAGTGGTAGAGCACTTGCCTAGCACAGGTGAAGCCCTAGATTCCATTCCTAAAACCACCAAATTGGGGGTGCAGGGAGAACGGGAAAGGAACATAGAAATGGGGACAAGGAAATTCAAGGCCCATTCTTTGACCCACAGTCACATGGAGGCTGGTGCTGAGGAGGTGTGGAGGAGGACGGTTTGCTCACAGGGTCTGACTTCACTGAGTTAAACCTAAGTGGGGCAGGGGCTCCCTCCCCTATCCCCTGGGAACCTACCTCAAAGAGCCAGACGAGGAGTGTGACAACACCTATGGAGTTCATGAGGCTGCTGTAGTAACTTAGCAGGGCTGCCCTGCAGCCCCACAGCCAGAGGTTCAGCTCCTCTGTCTGGTGGTCATAGCTGTAGTGAGCAGAGTTGTTGGTGAGCTGGTACTGTATGCAGGGCCGAGGTGAGTTGGGGTTACAGCAGCTGAAGGGGACACCGTCTACCAGGTACTGGCCATCCACGTTGCTCTTGATTCGACTGAAAGAAAATTAGACAACCTGGGTCAAGCCTCTGATACTTCCCACCAAGCACCAGATCCACCCACCGCTGTGAACCTGCATCTTCATTCACGCACTCGACGTGAACACCCTCCACCTGCCAGCCTCTATACTGGCACTGCAGGTAGAGCAGTGAGTGCTCAACCTATGTCCCTGCCTCCCTGGAATGTATGTTCTAGAAGGAAAAGGGCAAGAACATAGAGAATACAGAAGATCCCCACCACCACCACCCTGTCCCTGCACTGCCACACATGTGCTTGCCTGCAAGAACTTTTAAAATATTATTTTAAATGTTTTTATTTATTCTCTCTCTGCATTTTTCTCTCTCTAGCTCTGAGCTCTGTCTTTGCCTGTTTCTCTTTCTCTCTGTTTCTGTATGTGTATGTGTGTGTGCATGTGCACACACGCATGAACATGAGTGTGACAGCATGCAAGTGGAGGTCAGAAGACAACCTTCAGGAGTAGAGTCTCTTCTTCCACCATGTGGGTCCTGTTAGGGTTCAGATAGCCCCGCCCCTCACCAAGAGTGCCTCCTGGTGCTGCAAGCCCCTAAGAAAAGCACCTTGGTCTTTGAAGTCAAAAGCAGACTTTTCTCCACTGTTTGGCCAACACAGCAGGCTTCCCCTTTGATCTCTAAAGGGGGCAGGTTTTAACAGTCCCACTATCCGGCTTCACCCCCCCATCGCCCCGCCCCTTTTAAAAAATATATCTGCACGCCCCAGAGGCCTCCCCTTATAAAAGACCCCAGCTCACCACCAGGGGGCAGACATTTTCCTTGCCTGGAAGGGAATCTGTCCCAGGTGTTCCTTTGCTAATAAACTCTATCCCGCTGGCGTTTTATCTGTGTCCTGGTGCTTTCTCCTGATCAACCTGATTCATCCATCAGCTACTTCATCTATCAGGTCCCAGTGATTGAACTCAGGTCATCAGGCATGGCAACATTACCTTTACCCCCAAGCTATCTTACCAGCTCCTGCAAGAACTTCTCAGAACCATGCCAGGTTGGTAGGAAGGAAGGACTGCCAGAAACCCTGGATGAAGTTCTGGCTGGCGTTTGTGATGATCAAAATTTAGCTCCTAACCCCCTCACCAACCTCTTCTTCCCTTCACAGATCACTCATGACCAAGACACTTTGAAGATAGATGTTTTCAGAAGGCCCGCTCTAGCCCAGGGCCTATGCAGAGATAGGATGTGGAGGCTGGAGGCAGATGCAGGCCTCTGGAAACCACACCAGCAGGGAGGCATCCTTACTCACCTTGAAGGATGCAGTTGTGCCCTCAGCTCTCCAAGCTGTCAGACAAACACAGCGATGTCTGTGTTTCTGTGTTCATTTGTGTGGTTTTTTGGACTCACAATCTAAAAGGAATCTTTTTAAAAATATTTATTATTTTTATTTTATGTGTATGAATGTATTGCCTGCATGTAAGTAAGTGCACTTGTGTCATACAATGCCTTGGAGGTCAGAAGAGGGTTTTGGGTTCCCCTGGAACTGGAGTTAAGGATGGTTCATAGCTGCCATGTGGGTGCTGGGAATCAAACCCGGATGCTCTGCAAGAGCAGTCAGTGCTCTTAACCGCTGAGCCATCTCTCCAGCCCCAAAAGGAATCTTTTGTATTATTCTTAATTGTGTGCATGCATATGTCTGTGTGAGGATATATGCTCAAGAGTTCAGCTGCCCACAGACTCTGGCCTTGGATCTCCTGAAACTGGATTCAAAGCAGTTTCGAGTCACCTGACATGGGTCGCTGAGAATTGAACTCAGGTCCTCTACAAAAGAAGCCCTTGCTCTTAACTACTGAGCCATCTATCCAACCCCCAAAAGGAATCCTTACAGTGAAAAGTCTCCCCTCTCTACAGACTGGGTATGTGCTACCTGACCTGAGTGTGGCAAAATTCTTCTAGTGGCACACTTAAAATGTGGGTACTTGGCCAGGCATGGTTGTGCACACCTGTAACCCCAGCACTTGGGAGGTAGAGGCAGGAGGATCAGGAGTTCCAGGTCATCCTCAGCTACCAAAGCCAGTCTGGATTACATAAGACCCTGTAAGTAAAGAAAGAAAGAAAGAAAGAAAGAAAGAAAGAAAGAAATGCTAAGAGGTTGTTCAATTAGTAAAGTGCTTGACCATGTAAGCACAAAAAGGACCTGAGTTTGTTTCCCAGAACCCATGCAAAAAAAACAAAAAAATTGGGGGTGGAGGGCGGAGAGATGGCTCAGCAGTTAAGAACACTGACTGTTCTTGCAGAAGACCCAGGTTCAAATCCCAGCACCCACATGGCCACTAACAACTGTCCATAACTCCAGTTCCAGGGAATCCAACAGCCTCTTCTGTCTTCCTCGGGCATTGCACGACATGGATGAACTTACCTACATGCAGTTAATACACATAAAATAAAAATAATAAATAAAATATTTTTTTAAATTTCGATATGATGGCACATGATTGTGATCCCAACACTGGGGATTCAGAGACAGGCAGATACCTGGAGCTCACTGGCCAGCAAGCATAGCCTACTTGATGAGCTCCAGATCAGTGAGAGAACCTGTCTCAAATATAAGGGGGTACAGCACCTTAGGAAGGACACCTGAAGTTGTCCTTGGACCTCAATGCACACACATGTACACACACATGCTCATGCACCCTTACACATGTACCCCACACATACATAAAATTAATTAAATTAAAAATCCACATGGGGGCTGAGGAGCTGTCTCATTGGATAAAGGCACTGACTACCAAGCCTGACAAACATGAGTTTGATTCTCAGGACTCACATGGTAGAATGAGAGAAAAACAACTTCCACAAGTTGTCCTCTGACCTCCACCCATGCAGCATAGAACACACACACCTGTGTGCACACACCTGCCTACACACACAATAATAATAAATAAGGCACACATGGCCCACACCTTTAATCCCAGCACTCAGGAGGCAGAAGCAGGTGGATCTCTGTGAGTTTGAGGTTAGCCTGGTCTACATAGCAAGTTCCAGGTCTGTGTATTTCTACACATCCTGACCTCTACTTCATGGACAGAATGCACTGCTTAGAGAATGGGTGGCCCTGGGTGACATGGACATGGGATAAGGTAAAAGAGGACCACTGGTTCAACTTCTACCCTCCCACAGGTTCCTTATCGCCAGCCTGCCTCAGCTTCACCATCTATACATTGAGAGTGAGGTGAGGATTGTAAGGAAAGGTGCATGAAAAAATATGTGCTCATGGGCAAAGGCCAAGCAAGAGACATCTTGGGTACCTGGGGAGCTTATATCAGTCTGTGAAATGAACAGACCAGGTAACATCACAGGGCACCATCACTTGTGAGTTAGTGGCTGTGGTGCCTGACCCTTGAGGGCAGATGCCAGGCAGGATTCTCTTCAAGGCAGGAGAGTGCAGGCTTGCTGCCCAGTAGGAACAAGGGCTGTAAAACCTTTGATTGTTGTCAGTGGAGCCATCTCCCTGTATACAGGGACATGTGTGTCAGGTTCAGCTCCCTTCTGCCCCCATAGCCCCAAACTTGAACTCAGTGCCTAGCCTATGCAGCGCTGGGTCAGTGCTGGTCAGGGTATCCTGGGTGGGGTACAGGCAGGAAGACAGGCTGGAGGAGGGTCAGCAGGACCTTCAGCTTACACCGCTTGAGCCCTCTTTCCCAACACAGTATTCTCTGCCATTTCTAGATCCCCCAGGGACAGATCTTGGGGTCCCAGTGCTGTTGGCTGACTGTGAGGCTGGACCTTTCTAGGCCTGTGAGAAGTAGTCATGATCCCATTGCCTCTCAGGTAATACAAGTAACACATTTGACCAAACCTGGCCTTACCTTAGTCTCCAGAAAACGTTCGATCCTCTCTGCTTAAAGCCTCTGGACAGGACCTTGAAAAGCACAAGACTGTTCTACAGAGGAGGAAGTGAAACCCTGAGCAGGGCTGAACCCCACTCTAATCCACACAGGAAATCACAGACTAACTCACAGCAGCTACTCACTCAGTTCCCTGCTGTCTCAGAATTGACCCACTTCTCCAGGAACTAAGGTTTCTATTCCATACTGGCCTTGAACTCCCTATGTAGCTGAGGATGACCTTGAACTTCTGATCCTCTTGTCTTCACCTCCCAAGAGTTAGAATTACAGACATGTGCCACCACAGCCAGATTCTCGGATTCTGGGGTTGGACCTCAGGGTCTTGTCTATGTTAAGCAGGCACTCTACCAACTGAGCTTCAGCCCCAGGCCCACTTCTCTAGAACTTCTACATAGAGAAAGTCAAGCTGAGAAAATATGATCCTTCCCTCGCCCCACCCTCCATTCCCTGTCTCAGTAACTTATTGCCTACCCACCATCCTTACATTACATTCCCCATATCCCTGAGGTAGAGTCTGCACCCAGCCTCATACCTACTACCAGGGTATCTGAGATGAAGGCCAGGCCTGCAGACATGGGGATGAGCACAGCAGAGGTTCTGTGTGCCCCCATCTCCCCACCTCCCCTTCCTGAACCCCAGTGAACAAGATACTCTGCTGGTCTCCACAGGACAGGCTATGTCTCCCCGAGACTGTGGCTCCCTGAGAACAGGCCATGTCTCCTTAGTCTGGGGCTCCCTAAGGACAGACCATGTCTCCACAGACTGGGGCTCCCTGAGGACAGGCCACATCCCCTCCACTCTGGGGCTCCCTGAGGACAGGCCATGTCCCCTCCACTCTGGGGCTCCCTAAGGACAGGCCATGTCTCCTCCACACTGGGGCTTCCTGAGGACAGGCCATGTCCCCTTCAGACTGTGGATCCCTGAGGACAGGCCATGTGTCCTCAGTCTGGGGCTCCTAGAATACACTCCTTATCTTAATCAAGACTCTACAAGACCCAGTGACCCCCCCCCCAACCCCCCTCCAAAAAGGGGAAATTCCGAACCGCTCCTAGAATACACTCCTTATCTTAATCAAGACTCTACAAGACCCAGTGACCCCCCCCCCAACCCCCGCTCCAAAAAGAGCAAATTCGTAGCCTGGGAAATACTCTGATATAAATAGCCAGCTCACCAGCTAAGGAGCTCTGCACAGCCTGGCTTTTTCTTAAGAGGGGAGTGGGGCCTTAATCTGGTTGGAAGGAGGGCAGGCTCTTCATAAACGAGGTGATACCCCACATGGAGGGCAGAGGCAGAAGACTGAGGGCCCAGGGAAGTCCCACCTCCATGAAGCTTGGTCTGTCTTCTCCCCTGTGCTAAACTGGACTCCTTCTTCAGGACACCCCATCTGATGAAGGAGGCACTGCTCTAAAATGAAATAAGGGAAGTTCTTTTTGAGGGCAGGTCTGTGTTCCCGAGGACCAGCTCTGGGGACTGGGGGCATTCCTCGGCTTGGTTCCTCCCTCTGGGGACCTCCTTCAGTACCAGCAGAGTGTGTCCTCTCTTCCAGGACCCCCAGCTGGGGGAGACAGCTGTGGCTATCAAGGCACAGTTCACACTTACCACTTCAGGACGGTCTGTGGAAACTGGGGGACAGTTCTGGTTTGGCAGGGGGCACCTCTTGATTGTCTGAGACCCTGATATAGAATCAGTGAGATGCAAGTTGTCCTCTGACCTGCACACCCACTCTGTAGCATGTACACACACACACACACACACACACACACACACACACACACACACACAAATAAATAAATGTAATTCTTTAAAAACTTTTAAAAGATCTTTGTGGCTAGCAATATGGCCCCTCTTTCTGGAGCCATCTCTGTCATCAGAATCCTACCCCAAAGATGCTGCCAAGAATATTCAGAAGGTAAATGCTGACCACTTCTCAGGGCTTTTGGCTCAAAAAATATATAGATACACGTCATACTTTGTAGGGGAGGGCTTTGGGAGTCAGCTTTGTTGTACAAACTCAACAGTCCTCCTAAATGCAGCAGCCAAGGTGTGAGAGAAAAGAGAATGTTTGTTTGAGACAGAGTCTCCCTGTAGCCTCAGCTGGCCTGGAACTCTCTGTGTAGACCAGGCTGGCCTCAATCTCACAGAGGTCTGCCTGCCTCTGCCTCCTGAGTGCTGGGATTAAAGGCATGTGCCACCATGCATGGCTGTTATCTTATTTTGTGTGTGTAATAGATTTTTCTCCAGATCAATGAAATTGATAATGCAGCAAGTTGATACAGAGTACAGCAGTAATTTTTTTTATTTTAAACACATTTTATTTTATGTATGTGTTTGTGTGAATCCATACAGATACGTGTAAGTATATCCCAACACTCGAGGTCAGAGGGCAACTTGTGGGAGTCAATTCTCCCCTTCTACCATGTGGGTCCCAGAGATCCAACTCAGGTTGTCAGGCTTGGCAGAGAGTGCTTTTACTCACTGAAGTACCTTGCTGGACCCATCGAGGTAGTTTTGATCAAGTTAAATGTTTGCCTGAAAATTCGGGTCTACTGGTCTTTGGGAGGAGAATGACCTGGATAATTTCTCTGCTCTTGAACAAAAAAGCAATCTGGGTTACAGAGAAAATTTGTGTCTTTTTTTTTTTTTTTTTTTTTTTTTTTTTTTTTTCGTCTTTTTGAGACAGGGTCTCCCTGTAGCCCCAGCTGTCCTGGAACTCACTATGGAGACCTGGCTGACGAACTCACAGAGATCTGCCTGCCTCTTGCCTCCCAAGTGCTGGTATTAAAGGAGTGCACCACCATGCCTAGGCCTATGGAGACATTTTTAAATCTCTCTTATAGACTGACTATAAAGAAACAAGAAACTGGGCCGGGCGTGGTGGCACATGCCTTTAATCCCAGCACTTGGGAGGCAGAGGCAGGCGGATCTCTGTGAGTTCAAGGCCAGCCTGGACTACATAGTGAGTTCCAGGACAGCTGGGGCTACAGGGAGACCCTGTCTCAAAAAAACCAAAAAAAAAAAAAAAGATAAATAAATAAATAAATAAATAAGAGCTTTAAAAAGAATGTAGCTCATGGCCAAGCCCAGTAGCCTCTAATCCCAGCACTCAGGACGCAGAGGCAGGACGATCTCTGTGAGTTCTAGGCCAGCTGGGTCTACTTAGCAAGTTCCAGAATAGAACAACAGAACAGCCAGAGCTACATAGTAAGATGCTGTCTTTAAAAAAAAAAAATGTGCCTTGGTATAAAATAGAAAAATCACTTGCCTAGCTTGCCCAAGGCTCTGGATTATCTTGAGGGGGAGAAAAAGGAAAAAAGAAAGTTTCCATCCAGAGTAAACATTTGAAAAAAAAAGGAAAAGAAGGAAGAAAATAGAAAAAAGCCGAGGGACAGAGAAGAACCCTTCCTGTCTGGGTCCGCCATTGGCCTCTTACCCCTCAGGAGTTCTGCCTGTCCCCTGGCTTCATACCCTCTCAAGGTGACTTACCTAAATCATACCACCTGTCCCTGCAGACCTGTCATCTAGGAAGGACAAAGCGGGTTCCAGTCCTGACTGGGGATTTATGGCAGTAATCTCCTTCCGAAGAGAAACTAACAGCCCAAGCAGTAAATGATCTTCACTCTGACTTCCCTTCCACCTGAGGGGCAGTGGGCAGATGCCCACTGGGGTCTAGGAACTTCCCAGCTTCAAGCTCATCCTGCCACTGGTCTGCCCCTCTGGCTCAAGAGGATGATAAGGCTGGGACTGGGCCATATCCAAGGGCAGACTCCTTACAGAGGAGAAGAAATACCTTTGTCTTTTTCTCATGTTGAAAGCTTGGAAAACCAAGGAACAAACCAGGAAACGTCAGATTGCAGGACTGACTGTGCCTCCTTTGATCGAAGGAGACTAGCTAGCATCAAGTAATTTCTGGGTACATGTGAGCTCTGAATATCCTAATCCTACTCCATGAAGCAGACCCGTATGCCTGGATCTGTTCCTGGCAACCCCTATCCAAGCAGCAGCTATGATGCCACACCTTTCTCTCCTCAACCAAATGTTAAGTTGAACCATATGAAGTTGCCATTTTCATGGGCCAGAGGTACGCCGATACTGGGGATTTTACACGGTCCAACATAACGCCCTCACACAGTGATAGGCTATATACTCAACAGAGAGAGAAAGGCACTGGGCACACTGGGAAATCAGAGGCCTGGGTCTAGAGTGGAGTGACTAGGCTCCCTACTCACTCTTTGACTTCCTTTGAGGAAAAATCCAGATAGCGGTTGCTGATCCACTGAATCTCAAACCAGTCCCGGAAGCCGTTGTTGCCACAGCACTTGAACTCGATCTGCAACATGTCAATGGTCTTCTTCATGAAGCACCTGCCTGGGGTGTCGGTGTCTCGGTAATACTTCATGCCATTCTTGAGCCCGTAGGCCAGGGTACTCTCCAGGGAACCCCGTAGCAGAAAGCAACAGAGAGCCACAAGCAAAAGGACAGTGTTGAAGAGGACACAGATGGCTAGGTACAGCTTGAGCCTGGGCTTCCACTTGGTGTATTTGGCAGGGTCCAGAGCATCATAGCAGATCTTACCAGCCAGAGAGTTGAAGAAAAAGGATAGCACTCCCACCCCGATCAAAGAGTTGGGTATGAAGTGGCTCTCCGAATTATTCATCACCTCACTCCTCTTCCGAAGTTCAATCTTCAGGAACAGCCCCAGGCTGAAGAGAATGATGCCAGCCAAAACTGACAGCCAGTTCATGAGCCAGAGCCCCTGGGCCAACTTGACTCTCTTTTTCTGGTCAAACTTGACTTTGAGTAGTGCCATGCTTACAGAATGTGGTCCAGGCAGCCTTCCACAGCTCAGCTTCCTCTCCCAGCCTGAATGAGCTCAGGGCCTGGAACATTCAGGGCCTTGGGAAGAGCACCAACAGCCGGAGATGCAGGGAGCTGCTCTGGGGGTTGCCCATGTTGGGGCCCCTCTAGCCTGGGTCCCCCGTTAACTCAGTCGTAGTAGCAGGAACCAGTCTAGGCTGTCGTTTCAGCAAAGCCCTTCCCAGCCAAGAAGCCACAGCCCAAACACTGCAGATTAAAAGTGGGATTCACAAGGCAGTTGCTAATCTCTTTAGCCAGCTTCATCCCATTAGAGAAAGCCGTGCCTTTTTCAAAACATGGCCAGAAGGAGCCTCTGTGTGTATACATGCTAGACGAAGCTCAGCTTGAAAATCCATCCAAAAGGATGCGGCTGGCTAGAATAGGCTAGGCAGTCCCTACAACTCACTATGAGCCTCCCTTGGATCTTCGTGCCTTCCTGGGTTAAGAGAAGTGTAACTTTACTTTTTATTCTTGTATGTTCCTTTCAGGTACTAGCCAGAGCCTGCATGTTTTTCTGGTATTTCGCACATCCTTACTCCTTTAAAGCCCCTCTCCCAACCAGGCTGGCTGCTTGTCTGCCCTGAGGATAACCTCCATGCCAGCTTAACTCAAATGGCAAGACTTTTTTGAATTTCTTACCACTACTGTCCTCCTCCCAGTAGCTGCCGAGATTTACAGTTTGCCTGTCCTAGGGTGTTTCTTTTAAATAAAATTGTCTTTGAGCAGCCAGGTGTGGTGACTCATGCCTGAGTCCCAGCACTTGGGAGGCAAAATCTCTGTGAGTTCAAGGCCAGCCTTGGCTATGTAGTGAGTTCCAGGCCAGCTGGGGCTACAGGGGGATCCTGTTTCAAAAAGACCAAAAACAAAAATTGTCCTTGAGCTTAAAAAAAGAAAAGAGAGAAAGGGGCTGAATCAAGAGATGGCTCAGCAGTTAAGAGCACTCACTGCTCTTCTTGCCCAAGACCCAGGTTCAGTTCCCAGGACCCACATGGTGGCTAACAGTCCTCCATAACTCCAGTTCCAGAGGATCCAACGCCCTCTTCTGGCCACCTCTGTGGGCACTGCATGGCACAGATGCACCCACATACATGCAGGCAAAACACTCATACACATAATATAAAAATAATAAATCTTATGAGAGAGAGAGAGAGAGAGAGAACGAAATAGACTGGATATTAGAGGGCTGGCTCAGATCACATCTCTCCAAAGGCCTCATTTTAAATTTTTCTGGAAACAAGAGATGTTTGTAATCCCAGCTGGAATAGAAACGGCAGACTGTAATCATGTTAGTTTTTTATTTCATTTATTTGTATTGTTATGTGTCTGAGTGTTTTACTCATATGTATGTAAATGCACCAATTGAACACAGTGCCAGTGGAGGCCAGAAGAGGGAGTCAGATCCCTTGGAAATGAAGGTGATGGTTGTTAGCTGCCATATGGGTACTGGGAACTGAACCTGGGTCCTCTACAAAAAGAGCCAATTTATTTATTTCTTTTCTTTCTTTTTATTTTTTTATTTTTGTGACAGGATCTCCCTGTAGCCCCAGCTGGCCTGGAACTCCCCTATCTAGACCAGGCTGGCCTTCAACTCACAGAGATCTGCCTGCCTCTGCTGGGTCTAAAGGCATGTGACACCACACCCAGCTTATTTATTTATTTTTGAGACAGGGTCTCACAAAGCTGAGGCTGGCTATGAACTCACTATGTAGCCAACAATGGTCTTGAACTTACAATCCTCCTGCTTCTATCTCCCAAGATTTAGGGTCATATGCATGTATCACCAGTCTTTTTCTTTAGAGCATAAATTTGTACATCTCTTCAGAGGGTAATCTAGCTATCTCTGTTAAAGTTTTAAATGTCCATTCCCAGTGGTCCCATCATCCCACTTCTCAAAACAGCCTCTGCCTAAGTACAAAGGATTTTACACACAGAGTAATCTTGTCTTCCAAGTTCTTGTCCACCTAAAACTAAAGATTTCATGAATAAAAGGCCTGCGGGGAGCTGGAGAGATGGCTCAGTGGCTAAGAGCACTGACTGCTCTTGCAGAGGACCCGGGTTTGATTCCCAGCACCCATATGGCGGCTACTAATCATCCTTAATTCCAGTTCCAGGGGAATCCAAAGTCCTCTCTGACCTCTGAGGAATTGCATGACCACGGGTGCACTCACATACATGCAGGCAATACACTCATACACATAAAATAAAAATAATATATAAAATGTTAAAAAATAAGCCAGGTGTGGTGGTGCACGCCTTTAATCCCAGCACTCAGGAGGCAGAGGCAGGCTGATCTCTATGAGTTCAAGGCCAGCCTGGTCTACATAGTGAGTTCCAGGACAGCTGGAGCTACAGGGAGACCCTGTCTCAAAAAGACCAAAAAAATAAAAATAAATAAATAAAAATAAAAAAATTTTTTTTTAAAAAAAGCCCACAGGTAGGCCAGCCCTCCAGTCCCTCCAGTCCAGTCTCCTTTCCATGTATGGACTCTACTTGTATGCCCTTCTTTAATATTTCCAGGTCAGAACCAGCCAGAATGCTCAGTGGGTAAAAAACGCTTGCCACCTAGCTTGATGACCTGAGTTCAATTCTCAGTACCTATGTGGTAGAAGGAAAGAACCAACTCCTGTAAGTTGTCCTCTGACTTCCAAATGCCCTCTGTGGAATGCGCATGCATACAAAAATAAACTACAATAAAAAGGGGTGAGAGGTGCTGGAGAGATGATTCAGCAGTTAAGAGCACTGGCTGCTCTTGCAGAGGACTGCAGTTCAATTCCCAACACCCACTTGGCCTATAACAATTGTTTGTAGCTGTAGTTTCAGGGGATCTAATACCTTCTTCTGGCCTCCAAGGGCATTGCATAACATGGGTGCACTTACATACACACAGGCAAAGCTCATACACATTTAAAAAAAAAAAAAAGGGCCAGGTGTGATGGCACTCACCTGTAGTCCCAACACTTGGGAGGCAGAGGCAGGCAGATCTCTGTGAGTTCAAGGCCAGCCTGGTCTACATAGTGAGTTCCAGGCCAACTGGGGTTGCAGGGAGACCCTGTCTCAAAAAGACCAAAAAAAAAAAAAAAAAGAAATTAAAATTTAAAAAAAAACAAAAAAAAAAAAAAAAAAGTAATTTAAATTTAAAATATAAAATAATTTCCAGTCTAGGTGTGGTGTCACACAGCCTGTAATCCCAAACTCAGGAGGCTGAGGCAGGGTAATGGTGAATTTGGGACCAGCCTAGGCCACACAGCAAGACCCTGTCTCAAAAATGATCTTTTGTTGTTGTTTTCTGTTTGGGTCTTTTTGACCCGTAGCCCCCAAATGGCCTGAAAGTCACTCTGTAAAGCAGACTGGCCTCGATTTCACAGAGATCCTCATGGCTCTGTCATGTGCTGGGATAAAAGGTAAGCACCACCACGCCCAGCAAAAAAATTTTTTTCCCCTAGAGCCCGAGGTAAAATTAAAGAAATAGTTCCCACAGAGAGATGGGGTGTGAGAACAAAGTCATGAAGTTGGGGGTCCCGCCGATGGAGTCACCTAGAAAAACAGTACTGATTTGTTCGAGCAGGCATATGGAAACAAACAGTTTTGTTACAGTAGTGTTATAACACACTTGGGTAAAAACCAGTATCACCCAGGGTCTCTGCTCCTTTAACAGCCTAGCCTCGGCGCCTTATGAGCCGAAGATCTTAAAGGGATCTCAGCTTTTCACCACGGAGACGCTGAAAAGAATGTGCTGGGGTCATTTTGCATTTTTTTCCCATGGAAGATGTTCAGACACCTAAAGCGTGTGAGGAGGAGATAGGCAAATCTTTGGAAGCTCATGGCCAGCTGAGCAGCCTACCTAGCCAAGTTCCAGGCCAGTGAAAACCCAGTCTCAAACACAAAATGGAAGACATCTGAGATGCAGGATGCCTCCTGCATCTGGAGACAGTTACCTGAAATAGGATTGAGATGACGGAGAGCATGAGGAGAGAAAATAGGAGAGAAGAGCTGGATAGAAACCAGAAGTAAAAGCATAAAAATAGCCCTGCTACGTTAGCGGATTAGCCAGGCACCTCCTCTCCTGGTAAACCCTGAAGATGCCCGGAGCTAAGTGCATGTTAAGTCTGTGGATGCCCCCTGATGGTCAGAAAAAGAATGGCGTCCATGGATGTGAAAGGGATGGGGGAGGGGGGTGACCACCTCTGTGAGGGCGGCATCCCTGAGACTCTTTCTCCTGGACCAGTAAATAAGAATCTAGATGCTATAAATGTATTTAAAATGTAGGGCTGGAGAGATGGCTCAGAGGTTAAGAACACTGGCTGGTCTTGCAGAGGGCCTGGGTTCAGTTCCCAGCATCCACATGGTAGCTAACAACCATCCATAACTCCAGTTCCAGGGGATCCAACGCCCTCTTCTGACTTCCACAGGCATTGCACGACCTGGGTGCACTTACACACATGAAAGCAATACAGTCATACATATAAAATTAAAAAATAATAGGCTGGGTGTGGTGGCGCACACCCTTAGTCCCAGCACTCAGGAGGCAGAGGCAGGCAGAGCTCTGTGAGTTCAAGGCCAGCCTGGTCTACATAGTGAGTTCCAGGCCAGCTGGGGCTACAGTAAGACCCTGTCTCAAAAAGACCAAAAATAAATAAATAAATAAAATAATGAAATCAAAGCTTAGCATGGTGGTGCATGCCTGCAATCCCAACACTTGAGAGTAGAGGCAGGGGGATCAGGAGTTCAACACCAGCCTCAACTACATCATCAATTTGAGGTCAGCCTGGGCTACATGAGACCCTGTTTCAAACTAACTACAAAAAGAAAAATAAAATTATAATTTTTTAAAAGGCATTTTTTTCCAGTGTTGGGAATTGAACATGGGGCCTCACACATATTAGACAAGTGCTCTACCACTGCTGAATCCCCAACCCTAAGACATGATTCCTCACCCAAGAAAGAATCTAGGTGTTTCTAGTGTTTTGC